ATATAAATGAATAAATGATTATTTTTACCCTCGTTCTAATGATTTTTTATGAGGTGCTAATTCTAATGCACGTTTTATATCTTGTTGAATTTTTAATGATTGTTCTTCTGTTCGATTAATAATAAGTGTTGGAGTTAAATCATATTGTGCTGGTCGAATTTCATTATTAACCAATGGAGCTAATGCTCTGAAAACCAAAACAAGCTTAAGTTTATAATACAAAACAATACTGATTAACTTTACTAACTGTTTACGTTTTGCTTCTTCAATCCAAAATTTACTTTTATCTGTTAGATCAATACGTAATGATTGCCAATAATCTTTCAAAACATGTTTACAACACGCAACGGTTTTTTTTACACTAAAGACAAAATTTTAAAAAAGTAAATATACAAACAATATTGAATTCATATTCTTTACATTGGATTAGGATTTGCACATGTTTGTAAAGGTGGACATGGATCACCAAGTAATGAACGTAATGTCCACGCAGCACTTTCAGCTAATGTATCGATGCAATAACCACCCTAAAAAATAGAAAATATAGAACAAAAAAAAAAAAAGATTCAAAAAATTAAAATATTTTATACTTCAAGAAGTATTAACACTTTTCCATCAGCTAAACCTTTTAAATAATGTGTTAAATGTGCAAATGTATCCGGAGTAATTTTCATTTCACCCTAGAATACATCAAATTATATTTTTTTAATAAAAAAAAAACATCACTTTTGTTACCTCCGGACAACCGAGTGCAACATCATATCCAGCCGAAATAAGTACCAAATCAGGATCATACTAATAGAACAAAAAAAGAAACATTAAAATTCTTTGCATTATATTAAATTTCTAAGTTTACTTCATATGCAATCGGTAGAATAATATTAAAAAATATATATAAATAATCGACGTTTTTTAATCCAGTCTAATAATTATTATTATTGTTTTTTTTTTGGTATAATTTTTATTAATATGAAACAAATTATTTCTCACTTTATTCAATGGTATATTCACATTAAATCCTCGTCCATTACCTTCTCCAATAGCATCAAAATCTGATTCAGCAAGATTTGGCCAAAATTGACCATATTCATATCGATGAGTTGATATATATAAAACTCTAAAATTTATTAATTACGCTTTTTATCTAACATATTTATTTCATACTTATTCGTATCATAAAAAGCATATTGTGTACCTTGACCATGATGAACATCCCAATCGATAATTAAAATTCTAAAAAACAAAACATAGGATAAAATCTCTATATATAATAATATGCAGATCAGAAAACAACTAAAATACTGTATCGGTATGATCATCCGTGAATTTTCGCTGACAAACATTCACTTATGGTACCGTCTATACATAGTTTTATAACATGCATGAAAGTTTTCAGACGAAATAAAGTGGTTAATAAACAGGAAGTCAATGGTAGATTTAGAGAAAAGTGGTCACTTCAACTTTCTGAAAACTTAAATTCATCAGTGACCTTGATCAGATTATATTTTCAAAATATGCAAAATCTATGAAGAGGTCATAATAGTAGAATATATACCTTTCCCAAATAAACTACCGAGATGCTTTGAATTTTCAACTACGTTTATAAAACAATCTCTTATACATACATCACAAATATGGAGATTATCATACGGCTTTTGAATCTATGGTCTAGTATATGTTTGAAAAATCTTGATGAGCTCCATTTACTACTATAAAGAGTACCACGTTACCATGCCTCTATGTTCTGTATAGTTATGATTATAGCCGTTTGATTAGTTTAGTAATGAAAATTATTTTTTGTTATTAAGGTGAAGTTTCTACTAATTTTGCAAATCAACTGATAACTTTTTACGAGCTGTATCCAATGAAATTGAGTATGACTTCTGAAAATATCTATGTCACATTTGATCGTGATCAAGATTTGCCAAGCTAATATATTAGTGAAAAAAAAAACAATCAAGTTTTTTTTCTATATTTTTCGTTTATCGAATTTTAGTAATAGATAAATGCTTTACATGATAGAAATCATCTTCATTCTTCTATCTCTCAATAGTAGAAACAAATTTCTCGATTCTTATTCTCCATCTCAATAACTCAATCCCTGATTAAACTATAGTGTGTACGATTAGCCTTACTACAATACAAATTGATAGACAATGCATAAATGTGAATCAATCATTCTTCTAATTTTAAACGATAAAAGCACTCTTCCAAGGCAGACTTGATTTCTGTCTATGATTATTTATGCCTCAAAAACAAAAATTTTATGATAAGAAACAATCCGAATACATTCTGATTATGGTACGAATCATCTGCAGACTAATTTTCTTGTCATCGTTTACTGTCTACATTGATCAAGTTGAGTACTTTGATTGATTTACCTTTGTAAATTATATTTTTCAATAGCAGTTTTTGCAGTTATGACAACATTATTAAATAAGCAAAAACCATTCATTTCATTTTCCATAGCATGATGACCAGGTGGACGTACAAGAGCAAAACCATTTTGACACTTAAAATAAAACGAAATATATGAAAAAAAAAAGAAATAAAACCATAAGAAAATTTTAAACCTTATTTGTCATAATACTATCCAAAAGATTAAGTGAACCACCAATAGCTAATTTTGCAGCTTCGAATGAAAACTAAATAGTTAAAGAAAATTTTAAGAAACAAAACAGGTTTTCTTCTTTTAACGAATTTACTTCATTCATATAAACATCTTCATATTTTCGACAAAATTCTTTTAATTGTTCAATATTTTCACATGGAGCTTGTGATAAACTTTTTAAAAAACTTTCTTTATGAAATAATAAAATATCTTCATCTGTTGCTTTTGTACACTAAATAGAAAATATAATAATAATTAAAAACAAAAGACAATTGAATAAAATCTATAAACCTTAACAAAAAGACAACGATCGAATAAATTTAATTCACGACATCGATCAAGTATTGATGATAAACGACGAGGACTCTCATGATGATGTTTTGCCCATGGACATTCATGTTTAAGCATGAATTCATCATAAGTATATCCGGTTATTGCACTTGGCTGTGTAGCCATTCAAATAAAAACAATAATCTAAATAATAATAAAAAAATATAATGACTTTTTATTTATCATGTTCAATATATTTGAGAAAGATGAATTTCATGAAATTTGTTCATGCTTATTAATACTTGATACATATAAGGAAAAATCTATTTTTTATTTAAAGATAAGGTTTTACTATATATTCAATAATAGTCTATGATCGGACATGCATGAATCATTAGAGTAATGTCGACCTAGAAGTTCAGTAATGCAGATAGAATGAAACTCATTTTGAAAAGCTGATATTAACAGTATATGATATATAGTTTATTTATGATATTAAATTATTCTGATCGATTAAAATTATGGACACCAAACGTTTACATTGGTCTCTAGTCGAATATCTATTGAACTCTTTTTAAAACGTCACTGAAATTTAGCGACATGCTTTGTGTGTAACTCAGTTCTCCTAATAATGAAATATTTAGGTGAATATATTGAATGATTTAATAGATTTCTATCATAATTTTCTATTCTGATGTTCTCATCAAATTCAGATATTGTCTCATTTAGTGTATTCAATATTAATTGGGATTTCGTGTCACAGTATCTGTCATTAGATTAGGTATTTTTTTAATTTAAAAACATGTGGAACAGAGAAAGAACACAATAAATTACGTAGATTGATTGGTTATTTCGATTATCCATTGCAGTTTTTGTGATTTTAGATGTCGTAAGATGACAATAAAGTCCACCTTGAATGAGTGTCTATCGTAAATTGTCTATGCAAAATTAGCATGGAAAACTACAATGGGATACATACAGTTAAACGAACTGCATTTGAAATAAAAAGTCGAACTAAAAACGACCGTACAAAAAATTTTAGTAAAAATATTGCAAGTATTAGAGGTGTACTTTCTGTAAAAAATTAATTTTGGTAAAGTCTGTGTATTTCAGCGTGATTTTCCATGTTGATTCCAAATCTACAATTGACTTTGTTTCCAAAATGAGTTTTGATAATGAAAAATACTGTGGACAAGAGCATTCTTGGTCCTTTCATAAGGATCAAAGATTAATCCGACGGACTTTCCTCGGTTGCTATCGAAATAAGAAAATATTAAATTTTTTCAAAAATAAAACAAAATATTTATTTTAAAATCTGATGATTTAAATAAGATATGACATTTGATCGTGTCTTCTCTAAAGAAAAAAAATAGATTAGTCTACAAAGATGCGTACGAACACATGCTATAAGCTTATAAATATGGATAATGGTTTGTAAGTTATTAATGTCAAATCTAAGGAAATAATATTTTTCATTCAATTTTTAATGCTGAAGTATGAAAAAAAAATATTTTCCAAGAGCCTGGTAAAAATAGAACTGTTTCTAGAAACCACTAATTTTTGTCATTTTACCACATTGTTAAACAATATGATTGGATCATAGATATAATGAGAATAAATTTTGGTAGGAATAGGATAGAATGTCGAATTATTCACCATTCGTTAGAAATCAATTGTATTTTTGGAACTCAATGAAAAATATGAAGAAAGGACTTTAATTTTAGATGAGAATTGATTCCGAAGCCATATGTATATCTAAGAATCATGAATAAACAGTGATATTTAGCAAATGTATTATCGATAAATCGCATAGATCATTTTTTTTTAAATGATTCATTTCCTCTTATATTTAAAGCATATACAACAATAAAAAACAAATTTTATTTGAGTTAGATCGATAGATGGAGTATGAAAATATTCGTATCCGTATTAGTTTATTTACTAACCAAATATATTCTCTTTTTTGTTACCTTTTACAAAAAAATGTAAAGACTGGATCAAGATATTTAATAGGAAAAAAAAAAGAGAAAAGTTTCAATTTCACATATCTTATCGAATTCTTTAGCTTGCAAATAATCATTTTATCATTGTACTTTGAAACATATCCCTTGAGAAAAAAATGGCTGAATCACCAAAGTCTCATGTTGATGTATTAATGATTGGTACAGGAGAATATACAACAGGCTATGTACATGGTAAAGCAAGTCAATCGGATAAGAGTAAAGGAGGTATACAAAATGTTCATCGAGTTAATAATCTTCGTTTTTAAATAACCCTATTTTTTTTAATAACTAGTCGTGGCATTAACATTAATCGATCTTCGTCGACGAGGAAAAACTAGTCGTTTAGGTATATGTGGAACTAATGGAAAGAAGTTTGCTGATATTCGAAAACATATGCAACAAGCTATTGGTGATGTTTATAAAGATATGGATTTAACATTGGATTGGTGGTTGGTAGCCATGTTTTAGTATTTTGACTTTCATATATAAAAAAAATTTTAATTTCTATTTTTCGGGCCTGGTGATGATGCTGTTGATACTCGTGCATATATTCAAGCTTTGGATACATTTAAACCTGGTGATGCTTGTGTTATATTTACACCTGATGATACACATTTTGAAATGGCATTAGAAGCTATACGACGTGGAATTCATGTTATGATTACTAAACCAGCTGTAAAAACATTGGCTGAACATCAGCAATTATATGAAGAAGCTAAAAAGAAAAATGTACTTGTAATGATTGAAGGTCTGTATCAGATTTATCTACTTAATTAGTGATTCATAATAAATAGTTGCATTTTGTATTTCATATTTTAATCTTAATATATGTTTTATATCGAAACAGAATGAATCATAAGATGTAGCATGAAAAGCTCTATAATCTAGAAAATAAAGCTTTTGTTCTTACAAGAGGCAAAATTCTACGAAATTAATTTTCGACGCTGCGAACATAATCATTTTTTTGTTAAATAATTAATTTCTTGTTTTTTTTTCTCTCATCAATGAAAGACACCTGTATTTATTGAGCAAAAATATTTTTTATTAGGATGCATTTATACCGTTAGTTGACTAGAAACAGATGAACAAGGCGATCTGGACGAAAAGGCTAAAGAAAGAAGAAGATCACAGAATCTACTATTTTCAGAATTTGAACCATTAAAGTGAAGACTAGAGAGATAAAAAGTTTGCAATGTTTGAACTTCCATAAGTTCTTCTTACTATTAAATATCACAGTGTCGGATACACATCGCTGTTGCATTAAACTATGTTCTATCATCATGTTTAGACGTCTATAACATACTCTCCAGTTCATTAGAGAACTCTCAGTTTTGATCTTTTGAGATCGAATGAGAGAAAAAGTTTCACAAGGAGTTTATCTTACTGGAAGTTTTTTGTTGGATTAAAAACAATGAAACTGAAGTCTCTATCCAACCTATACCCACACTCTATTGACAGAATTCATGGTCATTAAAGTTTCGTACAAAGCAAAATAGTATGAAAATGATCACTATTAAAACAGGTGCAAAATAATTACTTCTCTGATCAACATAAGCTGATTTTAACAGTTGAATGGTGCATCTGAAATAAAGAAAAACAATAAAGTTCGCCATAAAACTTGAAGAATGTAAATATTGCAGGAAAGCGTCAGAAATAATAAGAATATAAAGTTTTTACTTCTCTAATTCGTTCTTTAATGATTCAAGTTTTGAAAGAGTTAGGTTTTTGTGTACTCAAAAAGTGAGTACACTCTAGAATCGGTCAGTGTGTCCGTCCGGCCGGCCGTTAACACGATAACTTTTGAAAGGAGAGTCCGATCGCGATGAAATTTTCTACACAGTTTAGTCTTTACAATATCTCGGTCGAGTTCGAAGATGAAAATGATTGGCCGAGCCATTGCTGAGTTATTGCAAAAATAGTCATTTTTCCCTATGAGAAGATAGACCCTTCTCTGCTTTCATAAAAAACTTTTCCTATCATAGTCATATAAACCTCCAACTATTATATACCATTCGATAGAGAATTTCACGAGCTACAAAATGGTATATAAAACATAAAGAAACAACAAGGCTAGCTCACCTATTGCAGAGATAAACAAACAGAAATCGGTTCTGTTTTTGTCTGCGCTCTAATCGATCCACAATTCGAGCTCTATCTTCCGATCACAGAGATAATACTTCGAGGTTTTCTAGGATGAAGAACTCGAATCTGTAATCCACTTCACTCGAAGCCCCATTGGTTGAGCACTGACCAATAGAAACCAAATTATAGGAAAAACGAGTTTTTTAGGATAACTCAAGGCGAAGAGTCCAAATCTGAGCTGTGTTCACTCCGAAATCCTATTGGTTGAGTAGTAGCCAATAGAATTCAAATGTTTATAGAAAGGATTTGCCAGGCTAATTTTTATATCCGCACATTCTAGGATGACCGATTTGTCTCATTCACTTTTTGAAGTACACATAACTCTCGGATTTAAATCCGAGGTTTCCACATTTATTTATACTTAACTCGATGTGTTCTAGAAACCAAAGAGATCCAAAAAGATTTTGATGGAAAAGGTTTTTTGCTATGAAAAATCAAGTTCTGGAAGGTTTAGCGGGAGAAATCAACTTGATATTCGGAATCAGCATAATTGATTACATCCAATCCGCTATATTTTAGCTAAAAAGCGATTGAACATTTGATGACCTTCTCTTGCAAATATTCAAAAAGAAGTCTGGTGTGGTTAAGTGCTTCTAAAAATGGTCTTACATCTCCTATTATATTTAAACCTGAAAAACTGTTATCATATGAAGATTATACTCGAATTGTTCTTTCACAAGCACAACTCAGCGTGAGGACTGAGTTGATCATCCCAAAGTTGACAGTTATTAGAGCATGCTTTTTGTGTCTATGCTCACGAAAAAATCGATAATCACCTTGAAGCTTTAAATTGTACCCCTGAAAAAGAAAAGCTGGAGAAAGCATTGACATGATCTGAAATTAAACGGTTTCTAGAGGACGATTTTATCGATCAATAAGAGAACACCATGTCATATACACATCAGAAATCATTAGCATGATTTGACGACATTCTCATTCATTTTATCGACAATCATTGATAGTCAACTAAATATTCCTGATCTCAATGCCATGAATGATTACGTGCGAGGTGCTATTATCAATAATATGTAATGGGATAAGGTTAAAAACTATGATTCATTAATCGATGAAATAAGAAAAAAAGTTATCGTTCGTCGTGTCGATAATCAATCATACAGAATTTTTCTTATCTTAAATACAAAGACAACTTTATAGGTTGTGAAGTTGTTCGTACTACATCGTGTGTCACATTCTGTTTTTGATATTTAATAAAACGTATTTAGAATTTAATATATGAAATGCAAAGTTCAATCATTGATTATAGGTCATCCGTTATTAATGAATTATTTTTTTTTGTTTAGTTCATAAACGATTTGATCCAATGTATTCTGATGCTCGAGATCGTATTCGAGATGGTCTTGGTGAATTTTCATATTTTTATTCTTTTATGTCACAACCCAAATTTCAATTAGATACATTTCGATCATGTAATTTAATAATATTTATTCAAATCTACATTAATTCAAATGATCATTTTAGGGGCTGGAAAATCTTCTGATATATCCTATTATCTTAATAGTCATCATATTGATTTTCATGTTTGGTCATTATATGGTCGAGCTCGTCCAATACGTGTTATAGCAATGGGTGCAACAGGTGTAGCTAAATCACAATATGATATTGATACAGAAGATGTTATAACTCTTTCTGTACAATGGATTAACTTTGAATCCAAAACAGTAGGTACAGCTATTTATACATCATCATGGATTAGTGCAAAATCTGATACACATACACAACAAAAATTTCATTATGTTGGCCATCAAGGAGAAATTAATATTGATCAAGCACATCGAGGATATACAGTTGCATCGGATACAAATGGATATTTAAGTATTAATCCATTATATATGAAATTAGTACCAACTGATGGTAAGTTAGTTACATTCTTTTGTTTTTCGAGTGATTTATTTAAAATTTTTATTTTGAAAATAAAAAAAAAAAACAGGTTATTTCGCGGGACAAAATGGTTATGGTTATCGAAGTTTTGAAGCATTTATTGATGCTGTTACAGATTTAAATTCGAAGAAAGTTGATATGAATACATGTGACACTAAATTAGCAACAATTGGTACTACATTCCAAGAAACGGCTGTACTTGAAGCAGGTCGTATTAGTTTGAATAATCAATGTGCAATGGTAGAAATCGCCTACGAAAATGATACATCACTCATTCCTATTGAATTAAAACTCTTAAAATGATTTTATTGAACTATAAATATTGTAGCTTATTTTTTCTTGTGATTTTTAGATTCGATAGTTTGAAAAGAAGAAAATAATTTTTTTGATTTATTAAATAAATTTCTATCTTAACTGTTAGCATTCAAATTGATATGTTACGTTTAAATGTTTTCTATGAAGTTGTTGTGTTTTAATGGCAACGGTCCTTTGAGATTGATGTATGTATTAAAAACAAAGTCACTGTAAGATCGTATTTTCTTATGCAACCAACTATATTCTGTCAATTTATAGTTGATGTTTGCCAAGAAGAACCAAAAAATATTCCGAGATAATAAACATCTATACTATTCGATACAAGAAACAAAATTGAACAAACAGAAAAATAACCTATAGACCCGAACAAGTAATTGCAAAAGCATGTGAAACTTACGACGCAAACTATTATAAGCTCACTTAAACGAAAAACAAATCCACTATATATTTAGCATGTATTTCAACATCTCAAAAAGTTTTATCCATATCGACCAAAATTATTACATCTGTTCTTACATTATCGATAGAACTCGCCTATCGAGTTCTTGATCATCTTGACGATTTCAATATTTTATACTGGGCACTAAACGTTTGTACTCAGATAAATGCCATTTTTGACGGCTATCATCGGTATCAAATGAAATACTATTACATCTGACAACATGACTTTCATGATCGTTAACGTACTTTAAAGGATCCAACGGGAATCATACGTAAAAATTACAGTTCTAAGGCCACCAATAAAACCGAAGTAGTGAAAATACTGCTAAGATCAAGTTTTTTTTCTAAAAATAACGTCCTCACAACATTATTGCATTACTGATATAGAACGATATACATATGAGTAGTTTCTTTTCACTGTAAATCAGTTAAAACAATGCATGAAACTCTAATAACATATAAGAAACGAACGAAGGAATCAAACAGTCCACAGAATGAGAGAACAAAAATGCTATTCATATCGATAAGAAAGTTTCATTTTTCCATATCAAATATGTGGGAGTATCACGGCCCATTTCAACTGAATTTTTCAGTCAATATTGTGTTTCATCTTTCTTCTCAGAGCCTTGAGACCTGCGTCATGCATTGCATACTGAAATCTGGAAGCAATTGACATACCCTACAAGATTTTATCGATCTCCTAACATTTCTAGTATCTCATCTCTAAAAGCATTTTGATGTCGATAAACTGAATCAAAGATTTTCCAACTAAACGAACTACCAACGATTACAGGTTACATTCCGATATCACTTTGGGAACGCTTCCATCATTTCAGCTTCCTTATTCCCACACATGGACACTAACAACACTAGATCTAGATAAATATCAAATTGACAATCAAGAATAGTAACATCTAGGCAAAGCTCTCGAACCAAACCAAGTAATATTCTCATTTTCTCTACCTACCATTCACTGCTTCTCGTAAATAGACATTAATCATGCTGAAGCTCGATAGGGAACAAATTTATGGTCAAGAAGCACAACATTTTTTTCCCTGCTCTACAACAAAGTCGAATTTAATTCTAATTTCTTTTGTGTGTCATCGACTACATCTAAACTCACCTCTCTCGATAATGGACATGAAGATGTAGGTGTGAGTGTGAAAGCTCATGAACGTTGAAAGCTTGTCTTCATTTACATTGACTCTTGTTTCTCAGCAATATTGTATAAGAATTTGAATTGTATTGCTTATGCAACTACGCTGTCTTTTTATCTTTTCTGTTTTTATACTTTCTTATTATTTAATTGAAAAAAGAAAAATCTTGTTTGCCTATTATTGTCGATCAGCACGGCGTTAGTAGCATCTCAAGTAGAAATTCTACAAACGAGTGTTATTTAACTGAGCTGAATTTTGAATCATGAAACAAGCACTCTGTTGCTTTTCGAATTTGTGTTTGCTTGATGTAATCAAACGGAATAATACGAAGATATTCATCATGGATATTGAATAATAGGAAGTTGAGTTTTTATTTCAGAAAAATTAACACTGCATATTAATGGACCAATAAATAAGTAAAATCATCATTGAAAGTGTTCATACTATACAATTGTGGTTTGCACCCAATATGTCACCGAGATGATGCTTTGTATCCAGTGAAGGATAATCCGCATCCTATTCGTAACCGTATGGATGGGTAAAAAGACAGCATATCGTTTAGACGGTAGATCTATGGATTTATGGGCTGGGTTACATTGTTTTCAAACCAGCTCATAGGTTCCTATTAGTTGATGACATTAATTAGAAAATTGGATTTGCTCTCAAATCGTTCGTTTGCTGTTAACCACTTAGCCATAATTCTAGCGGATCCTGTTTAATTGAAATATTCTGTTTTTATTTTCTAGATGAAATATGTATAGGATGATGTTCTCTGATAGCTGCATGTGATTTTTGGCACTAATATTTGGTGACCATTATCTTATAAACTATTGAATTATGTTCTCAATTCTATTATTACAATATCTGTCTCAAATACACAGTTGTATCTGTTCTTTTTTTTCAGAAATTACTATTGAATAAAAAATGTCTAATGAAACTTGATCAAACTAAATATTTATAATCTCTGATTGTTACAAATTTTTTATCTTATACGTAGCATATTACCTTCATTACTCATTGATTACTTCTTTTTTTTTGGGTTTTTTTGTGTGCTTATGACAAACATATATAAATAACTTGAGGTCAAATATAGAAAACAGAGCACGTGGAAAATGCTTTTAAGCAGCAAGAGAACAAAATAAAGCAACGTGTCACTAAATATTAACAAGAGGGTAAATTTTTTGTTTCTATTATTAATAAAAACCAGACAAGAGAAAAAATTTTGTTTTTATTTTTTTTAATAGACACTCTGAATTTTCCTTGTAGAATTCGTAGTATACTATTATATTTGATTTTGATGATTTTTTAAACAAATAAACATGTTGGAAAATATTTTACTTGCATTTGTACCTCGAAACAGAAAAGAAAAAAGTTGGAAAAAACCTACAACATACTTACCCCTTATATGCTAGGCAAAAATTTTAACAAATGGTATTCGTTTTTTTCTATTCTTTCATTTTACATTAATAGTTTAATACATTTACAGTGAGTCTGCAAAATAATATGACAACTTCATTATCAAACAAACTTGCCTCGTGTTTATTTGCCGAAAAGTGTGTCCTACGTGATTTAAAAAGCATAAAAATGAATAAAGATTCAATAATTATATTTATTGACCCAATTGATAATAATCTCTTACATCTTGAAGCAGCAATTCTAGGACCAATGTCAACACCATATGAGAACGGAATTTATTTACTTCATATAAAACTTTCTGAAGAGTATCCTGTAAGATAAAAAATTTTATTTTTAATTAAGTATGAGGTTATTTTTTCTTCTTTTTTTTTTAGTATCAACCACCTCAATCAATAATATTTAAACGAGCTACAATGCATCCAAATATTGATGAATATGGTAAATTTATGTCCGAATTATTCAAATTAGAATCTTGGACACCAGCTATGACAATAAAAAACATTTTAGAACATGTATGGGCACGTCTAGCAATTCCAAATGTTGATTCAAATGAATGTGATCCAGTACGAGCTCAATCATATCGAACAAATAGACATCAATTTGAAATAGATGCACGTGAATGGTCGATAAAATATGCAAATGCAACATAAGTCACTTAAAAAACACTTACATTCATATGTTTACATTTTGTTTTATATGTATTTTTTATCTAGACACAATCTTGTAAATTAGTTTTTTCTTCTCTTTATGTTGATTTGACTCTGTAATGAGACTAAAACCAGAAAATCTTTATTGCTTTCTGATAATGTTATTATCAGTTTCTTTGATATCAGCGATGATCTTTTTATATTATTTGATATGTATTCAAAAATATAAACCGTAAGTTGTTAATTGAATCAAAGTAACTAACTAGGTTTGTTTAATAACGTTTTAAATATTCGAATTTTCAATTTTTTCTTCTAACAGAATTCACATATAAGGGTAAAATTGAAAAAATGACGTCGTTTTATTTTATTCATTCTAATCATGTGAAAGGAAGAAATGACTTTTTTCTTTACAACAGAAAGAAACATTATAATGCTGGTTTATTAGTGGAGAGAGCTGAATTTTTCTAACAAAAGTTTGTTTGTTGCTTATAAAGAAAGTGAAATTCGATTAGTCAGATGTTTTTTTTTTTACAAATCTTTGCTAAACATAAGAAGAAGTATGAATCATGGGATTGTTTGTAACAGTTATTATTTGTATTAGTACTATTTAAAAGGCGAAATGAAATTTTACAATATATAATATTTTAGTCAGACAACTGTAAAAAGGGTTTCTCAATCTTTGAATAGGAGTCAATTGTTTTTTAAGTCTACTATTTCTTAAATTTGGTATCAAGTAACATAAAATTTAGGCAGTGAGATTTGTATTGAAGAGCCCCCTCCTTCAAACAAAGTCAGTTTTTGTCAAATTCTATCAATTTTGTGATTTATTACTCATTAGATAGAGCAAAGTGTCTACTTTCGAATGCACTATAGTTGATTGATTTTATGAGGAGCTTTAAGAATATTACTTAAGTTTTTCTGAACCTCCATATTGAAAAAAATAAGGTTTTTAAAAACTTATTTTCCGTTTTTTTTAAATCCGTTTTTTCGAGTATATTGTTTGTACGGGCAAACCTTACTCAATAACGACTCAATATAGAAGTGATAATTTTTTTTATTGCATAAAGAACAGTTAGGGTTATATCCTCATAGAGCCAGATATTTGAATTTCTCTATTAGTGAAATAAAAAATCTTCATATCTCATTTTTATTAGCGATTTTTTTGGCCATGAATTCGAGAATTTTTCGGAGAAGATTTTTTATGGAACAAACAAAGAGTATTTCAAAAATTTGGCTCTATGAGGATCTAACACCAACGGTACTCTACATCTTAAAAATAGTCCTGCCATATTAGTTCGTGTCCTGATTGTGAAAACTTTTTCCGCGTACAAAGTATTTTTGACCAATAAATTGACTATAACTCATGAATACCTCACAGATTTAAGGAGATATTTTAACCATTATCTACCCTAGCCAAGTCTAACATTCTCTAAAATTTTGGTTGAATTCCATGGAAAAATAAAAAAGTTCGTTTATAAGAGGGCCCCCTTAACATAAAAACAATACACGATCTCATCTAGGGTCGATTCTATTCTATCTAATGTCTTTATTATTGCTCATAACACCTGACCTAAGACTAGCTTGCCACCCTTAATTATTTTGAGTACGAAATGGAGGCTAAATTGCCATTTTGCGAAACTAACTGATATTAGAGTTTCAAGAAAGGTTTGCATCATCTCAAGACTTGCATCTATTTGACAAAGTTCGAACGAGTTCCTAGCAACTTGTCATTCTCTAGATTACCACGATACAAAGAACAGATTTTGTTACAGCAAAAAAGACGTAAAATTCGAAAGTCAAATACGTAAACGACCGACTACATTAATGCTCTTCTTCAGATTCCACATTAATCCCAAAATTATTTGACCAGGTATATTTGCAATGTTTGTCAACTGCCGTAGACATTAATAAGAATTCAAATAGTGAATTGTGTAGAGTATTTTATTTCGAACAAGTAAAAATAATTGCTAGGTTTCCAAAGAGAGGGTTTCTTCAGAATCATATAAACCAAGTTTATTCTGTTTGAATTACATAAAATGATAAAGCAAACAATTCTATCCAAGAGGAAATATCTTTCAGCACTCCAAGATGTTCTTTGACCGAGATACATCAACAGTACGGAAAGCATAAAAATGGTGTTGTCATACGAAGCAGCAGAAAAAAATACCTTTTAGCGCTTTCCTTAAGATTGATGTATCTCGGTCAAAAAGACTGTTGCAGAAAACTGAAAGACATTTTATTTTGTACAGAATTGTTTGTTCTAACACTATAGCTAATTCAAACAGAATTCTAGGAGATGAGAAACTTGGCTTTTGATTTTCCAGAGTTCTTGTCTTTGACAAACTAGTTTTTGTTGTCATTTTTGCAAATTCATATTGAAAACTATAAAGAGATCAATTGATTACTTTTGATGCATAAATCTATATGCTTATAAATTATGAATAAACACAATAAATCAAACTTTACGATATATTAGTTTCTATGCATTATTTTTAGAGTTAGAAGAAAATTTATTACTAATAATAATCTATAATCCACTGTTGTACTCAATTACAATCCTACGAAATCAAACTTTTTTTGACTCCGAAATTCGAATTCGATTTCGTCAGTAATTTTTGTCGAAATTTAACTCTGAGAGAAACTTCGAAAATGTTTTTTTACCACCATACATACTTCATTTCTGTGCTATTTGTTAACGAATATGTCACTTTGACGTTTCTTTTTTTATATTGACACTTGCTTATGAATCTATCAAGTAGTATATTTTTGTTCTTTAGTTGACATATGAAGGACAAACTTGCTACTATGTAACAGTAAAAATACGTGACTGTTTTTTTACTAATGTAATTCCGATATTAACTCTACAAAGAAAATTCTTCACGATTTCTTCGACTCTGTCGGAGTCGAGTTACGAAGTTTGAAACAAGGGTCTATACTCAAGAGAAATAAAGAAAATAACTCTTCACTTTACACAACCTTGAAACCTTCAATCTTTTTTTCTTATACGCACGTCTTCTTCTTAGATATTTTAATAAGACATACCAACAAAGCAATAATACACATTGAATCACAAATGATATTCTAGTTATTCTGTCATATAGTTTAATTCTAGAAAATATCTGCCATTCTTAATTTGATATATTTTTTTACGTGTCTTAAATCATGTTGTTTTCTATTATTAAAAAAAAAAACCATGCGAATTCCTTCAGTTGAGTCTGAGTACAACTCATATTCATGTCACTTATGTTTATTCAATAAAAATAATACTAGTCTTTTGACGTTGTTTAGAACAAAAAAGAGCCTTTTGTTGTGTAGTACATCAGGTATACTGGAATATATAAAGTGTACTCATAGTGCATTACCTTCCTTTCCCATTTCTTTACGACAATGTAGATTTCTATCGACGCAAAACAAATGACGTGTGTTGCTAAAACAAACATTTTATAAGAATGTTTTAACACTGAAAAACAAGAATTCATTTGTTTTACTTTCATATGAAATATAAAATTACTCTTTGACTAGCTGATTAGATAACATTCTGTAACATAGTGCCATCTTTTATTATCAATATACGCGGATTTTTTTATAACGAATGTAAAAAACTTGTTTTTCCTTTCTTATGCATTTTTCTTTTTGGTTTCGATTTCAACAAATAAATTTGATACTTTTCATATAAAAATAACATCACAAAAGATATAAGTAGTTTGATTGATAGTTGTGTATGTCTGTATGTACGTTTGAATGAATGGATTTGTATATCAAACGAAAGAAAAGAAAAACGTATGAAGTATAACAAAAGAAAGGCCATGCTCAGCTATTCGCTCTCTTTCTCTTCAACTTTACGTCCATAATGCATGACTTTTAGACGATTCTCTCCTTGTAAAACATATTTATGTTTAATATGTTGATTTATTAAAAGAAAAATAATATTTATCAGTTCCTGTAGAATTCGAGTAATGTTATGAAAAAACAACATTCTACATAGCTTCTGCTAACATAATTACACGTCTTAGTATGCTTGGCGTGACAACGAAGAAAAAAAAAAAAAGAAAAATTTCACTCTCCTGCTTCCCTTCATCCGAGACGACCATGTATGCTCTATCTTTTATACATATCTTCGTCCCTCTTTTTTTCTCTCATTTTTATCATTTATTCTCGTCCATGAGAACAAGCTGTAACCATTCACATTAGTCTTTATTATTCTGTACCGCTCAGTAGTTACAAGTAAGTGCTTTCTACGAGTAACCTTACATTATTTTGTATAAACAAAATGCATTTCACATCATTACTTTCAAATAATCAGGCAGACCATCTATGAAAGCAAACGAGAACAGGAATAAAAAAAAAAAGTGTGCCTTTATCGATGGTCAATGTCATTATAAATATAAGAGTGTTTGTTTGCGTACAAATGCTACTACGCAACCTTCTTGCACATTTATAAGAAAAAATCATTTTTTCCTACATCTGTAGGCGTTTTCATTATTTGTAATCAAACGAATACATTCAAGTGCAAATTTGTTTTTTTTTTTTAGATCATGGAATCACCAACATCTGTAAAGATAAGGTTCGTTGTAGAATTTTCTTGTTTTTTTTCTAAATTGTCAAAGTAATTTTCTATAGAACTATTCAAGGTAAAGAAGTACCTCCACAACAAAATCGACAAAAACAATCTAAAATATGTTCAGTACCACTTCGTTATGTTTGGGAAACATTAATTGTATTATTAATTTTTGGACCATTGCTTATGTTTAATTTCAAATGGCCTGCTGGAAAAGATTATATTCATGGAAAAATTCATAGAGTAAGTCTTTTCATAATGATTAAATAAATGAAAACAAAAAACAAAGCAAAACAATTTTCACATAGAAAACACGTCTTGCACCAAGTTCAGACGGTTTTCAAGGTTGGCTGAATCCACCCGTGAAAACGACACGTGCATATCGTTTGTTCAATATAACAAATTATATGAAGGTAATGACGGATAAAAATGAACCACAAATACA